TTGTTTAAAATTTAAAATTTTCGGCCTGAAAATTTGGAAACTTATGAGAGAAGTTATCTTTTCTCTTTAAGCAATTGAGCAAGCCGAGCTTATAAACTTTCGAAATTTTACAGAACTTTTCCCTTCGGTAAAAGTCTCTCCGTTGGGGGAGAGGTTGTAACAGCTTTAAATAATATTAAAATCTTGTAGTTTAAATAATTTAAATAGATGAACATTAAGGTATTTGTGAATGGCAATATTTGAAACCAGACTCGAGTGCCTCGTGCGACTCTCGCACGAAGAATGTAATTTATTTTTAAATGATAGAATATGTTTTCACTTCTTGTTTGTATGTCGCCATTTTTGAGTGTTAAATAAAAGTTATTGCTGTGTTCCATCATTGGAGTTGCTTCATATCGCCAAAGAAGTATCACAACATTGATGTAGATTCTTCATTATTTAATTTCTTTAAATATAATACAGTTTGATAGTATTTGGTGGCAACAATCAAAAAAGGCGAAGTGCCATTTATAGTGAACTGATGTAAAATGCCATTTCGAGACTAGCCCTTCTGTGCTAATAATTAAAACAATATAAAAATAAGTGCACATACCATTGAAAAGAGAGAAAATAGAAGTTACTAAAAATAAAATTCGTTTTTGACAAAAAGCAGAGCAGGAATAAGAAAAAATATAGAGAAACATTTAAACTGATTAAATGAATTGCCATACGAAATAAAATATGATCAAAATCGCATAGTTACCACACCAGATAAAAATTTGCCAAATTTGATAGGCATTTTATCTGGAACACCTGAACCCTGTAGCTTAATGTTAAGTAATCATTTAGACAAAGGGTGTGTTTAGAAATTTGACAGTATATTTCAAGTCATCAAAAATTACAGTTTCTAATTCCTATATTTCTAGACATAAATTTGACACATTACAGTAAGTTTAGAGCTTTCTACATTTCCTTTCTTTTAATCTACATTTCTGAAACTTTTTTTTAATAATGCTAGCCTGTATTATATTATAATATATTTGACAATTTTAAAAAAATGAGTTAATTGCTTTCTAATAAAACCTTTTGAGCTTGAATATAAATCTGCACTTGAACCAGCTCATTATATAAACATCCATGATGTTCCTAACATTTTAAATGAAAGTTACTAGTTGGTTTTAATAAGTCTATGAATATCAGTTTAACTACATGCAGAATTAATTTTATTTAAATAATATTTTTTAGCATTAAGATATATATTACAGCAACTCAATAGCAAGTGCAAATATATTATTCATTGAAAAAGACATTAAAATTAAAGCATTATCCTTATTTTGTGAAGCTACTATAAGGCAGTATATCTCAACAAATAAAAGTGCAGTTAACATTTAAATTTTAATCATGATAAAGTTGGTCCAAATTTTGTTTTCCTAATTCTGCGATTGCCCTGATTCCATATGTTATTTATATAAATAATGTAACACTAAATGATAAATCAATAAGTATACTCTTTTATAAAAATCCACCAACTTTTATGAAGACTCATGTCAGGTATCAAAATTAGTGAGCTTTTTTAGTCCAAATGGATATTAAAATCCAGAAGGCCTATTAATCTCAAAATGGCATTTTGTGTCAAATCACTTTAAATGTCTGAAACGCTTTTCACCTTGTTTTCACCAAATATTATCGCCTGTTTTATATTGGAAGAAACTAAATAATTAACAAATCTACATGAATGTATCCATGTTTCTTGCACTGAAAATCGTAGTCTAGAGTCATCAAATTTTGAGTAAAGGGTTCACCCAAACATGGTCACCAGGAAGCCTGAATTTGGAATTTGTTTCATTGTCTATTTCATATTTTATAAAAGGAATAATAATAATAAAAAAAAAACTCAATTTCAAAGCAAGCAGTAGCAACACTGTAGGAAATAAAACATTATCTCCAGCAGGCATGACTATTGAAAATTCTAAAAATATGCTGTTTTTTAATATTAGCTCAATGTGGCATTAGCCCAAATGCTCTTGGAAAAAAAATTTGATGTGTACATCACATGACTTCCTTGTATGGAATATTAAATTATATGCATTTTTTCTTGCATTTCATTTAAACTTATTGGATTGAATTAAATGTACTTTGTCGATAGCGCATAAACCACAATAGAATAAATGCACTCTTTAAAATTCACTATATTTGTTTACCATAGAGTCATTCTGGCTCTAGGTTCACTTAACAGCGTTATATTTTGTTCATATTATAATTCAGAATGCACAAAATTTATACCATTTGAAGAATTATCTAATCGTTCTGTTCGGATACTATAATAAATCTAGAACGATGTATAAAAGAAATTAAGCAAACAAAACAAAAAAGAAACAGTTTTTCTTAGACGATTCAGTATTTCTCATTAAATTAATTCAGTTCTCACCTCACGACGAGGCAAAAATACATTAAAACTCAAAATATCTATATTAAAAATTACGAAGTAAATCTTAAACATTTATTTCCTCGAAAAATTTTCAGAAAGGATTAAGCATTATTTAAAATTCGCAATAATAAATGAAGGCGTTTCTTTGTTGTTGCAAAGCTTAGTCTCTCTAGATTGGCAACAAATCTACTGTTCTGCTGTTTCAAATGTAAACAAACATGTCCGCCATGTTATTTAAAAATTAAGCTTAACCGCACTTAAACAGCTTTTAAATTGTTGATAATTCTACAAATATTGCATGCAGATTCCCTTTTAACCCTTTGACGCACGCGATATTATTTTTATAATTTTTTTAACTAAAAACTCTAGAAATTGAATATTATGAGCCTAGAGGCAAATAATATATGAATTTAAAAAAATCTACTCTTGCCCATTGTTCTGTAGGTGGTGGTCACACTGTGAAACCACCGCGCGTCTAGGACTTTGAAACTTACTGATGTAGTAGGGAAAAAAATCTTACTATTTTCCTCATCCGTTTCCAATAAATGACAAAATTTACGGATTTAAAAAAAAATATGTATGTAAGAATTGCATTATATATAATTTTTTTAATTATTTTACAAAGTAAGTCGTCAGAAAAAATTAAAAAATAAACATGTAATTTTTCTATAACAGTGAAAATATAAGTACTTACATAATAAGGACATTTGGATAAATGGATTAAAAAACTCAATAAAATAAGGATAAAAAAGAATTTTTTTTTTTTTTTTTTTTTTTTTTTTTTTTTTTTTTTGACACTGTTCAAAGCATGTTTTGTCTTTTTGGCACATGCATAGACCCACACTGCACGTTTCGCACATATATCTTGTTCTATGAGGTCTCTTCCTTGTGCTACAAAATGTACACTGCCTCGATTTAAATTTCACTGGTATATGTCCAGCGTTATTTAGTTTCTTTTCATCTGGCACATGAAATTTGTGGTTTTTTTATGTTAATGGGGGGGCTTGGTCTTTTTGGCTTTGTACGGATCGTTCGTTTCCCATTCATACTTATTTTATTCGTATTTCGTCCCAAAATATTCAGAAAATATTTTTAATTTAAATAAAACTTTTATGCAATTTCTATTTTTAATTATAGCAAAGTATATTTACATTAAATTTAAACCACATGAAATAATTTATAAAATCACAATACTAGCTTGGGAAGCAAGTGTGTGGATGGTCAGAGAAAGGTATTTTGAAAAGAAAGACCTTTTTACTGGGCAGGTGCATGTATTGCTTAGTAATAAAATAACTCTGTGATTTCAAAACCGCTTATCTATATCCGGGTAAAAATAAACATTTCTATTTGGGAAGCAAGCAAACGCCATTGTGAAGAGCAGTGGTTTCAAGGCACGACCACCGAGCCTCTAGAGCCAAGAGAATTGTGACACAATGCTCTAGTGGGGCACTGGTCGCGCTCTGAAACCACATAGCAAATGCCATACATATAGAGGGTTTTTTTATATGTGCAGTTTAGTTACTGCAATTTTTTATTGCTTATGATAGAAATCATGATGTACGATGACTAACTTTTGAAATTTAAAGTTGTTTATATTAATAAAAGGAAGTTATTTTGTCTCATCGAAAACGAATTTTAAAACGCATCCGATCTGAAGTATTAATACCTAAAACATATATGATTCTACAGTCATTTTGTGTTGTTTAGATGTAAGAGATCAGTAATCAATTCATTTTCATTCAAAAATTTCGGAAAAAAGAGGAGAAAAAAATTCGGAAAATGGTGGTTTCAGGGCGCGACCACCGCGCGTCAAAGGGTTAAGGCATAAAAACCTTAACCGGAAGAAAAGAACAACATTATTCAATCATTTTAAAGCAAAAAATGCACAATTTACAAACATATAAGAGTAAAGAAACTGAGCCGGGTAACAGAGTGAATATATATATATATATATTTATATACGTTTGGTGCGGTCAATTGAACCAAAATACGAGGTGCACATCTGCATGCTATAGCAGTCCTATATACAAAATTTAAATGTTCTGAGGCTGTTTTTGAGTTATGCGAGATACATGTGTACGTACAGACACCACGAAAAATTCTCTTCAGAATTCATTTTAAAGAAATTTTATAATTTTTTTGGAGGAAAAAAGTTTTATTCTGTCCTTTCGTATAGCTGTCATGCAAAAACATCGTTAAATTGCATTCAATAGCGGTCAAAATTGATATTTTCTTTGAAATATGCTGCCTGAAACTTTTCGCGATTATAATACTTCCTTTTTTCTTCTTACAAGGAAGTTAAAAAAAAAAATGCCTGTTTGGGTATTTCTTTCAGGTTTTTTAAATCCATGTTTCATTATTATATATAGTATACAATGTTTAATAATATAGTTTCATCTTTCATGTAAAGCAGTGATGCCCTACTTAAAAATTGCCATCACTACTCAGAAAATGGATATAAAGCAGTTAAAATTATAAAATTGTACATCGTATATAAAAAGTTAATTTTAAATTCTAGTTTATATATACTTTATTTTAAATGTTAGTGTTTTGTTGAATTTTATTAATATAATCACCTAAATGCCCTTTTAAGGAACCTAAGAAATGTGTAATTATGAAAGATGGGTCAAAACGATCAGCAGATCACTTGCCAGAAGCAGGAGATAAGAAAAGGATCTTAGGAGATATTACAAACAAAGGTACAAGTACGATTTCCAAGGCAAAACCAAGCAACAAGAAGGCCGGAAAATGTGGAAAGATTGACAGTCAATATTCTAATACTAGCTCCTGTAAAAGTGAGAAATCATCTGTTACCAAAGATGCCAGCCCAGAGGTCGAGTTACCTGTTACGAAGATTGAAGATGGGGATGATTCTTCCATATTTGTATCTGCTCTTGAATGGTAAAATTCATTTAAAGCTCTGTGAAGTTTTTTAGATTTTGCTTCTTTCTCATTAGTAGTATGTCCTAAAAAAAGGTTTTATTACCAACCTAAAAAATGCACCAAATGTTGTTCGCAAGTCTTTTTGAAAAATTTTGTATATAGCCAATCCTTGCATGACTTTACTTTTGATTAGCAGCCTGTTCAATTTGAGTGGATAAAGTAACATTAGAAGGCGTGTATTAACAAGTGCTTAAGAATTATAATTTAATTAATATATTCCAAACATATGTGCCTGTAACTGTTCATACTAATGAAAAACTAAAAATTTACTAATTTTATTAAAACCCAAATAAAGGTTTTTAAGTAGACCAAATATAAAAACTGAAGAAGCATTACTTTATGTAAAATAATTTAAAGATAAAAGTAAAAGTATTAAATAGACTAATTTCTTTAAAACTGTCGATGAGATATCATTTTATATAAAATATAAATGGGTAATTTATAATAACTTGCATGTAGAGTAGTGTATTTCGTATATATATAGTTTTTATCTACACCTTCACTGTGTGCAAATACAGTTTGCCAGGCTTCAGCCTTGTACACAGCATGTTCATTGGTTATGTTGCAAGTTCCCAGTTCTTCCTTCTGCTTGACTCTACTTGTTCCTCACGACTGTTTTTCCAAGTTTCTCTTCAGCAGTTTAAAAGCGCTTTACACCTTCCTTCTAGTTAAAAATTCTTACTCTCATTGAAAATTTTAAACCACTCTTTAATCGAAGCAACCAAGGAAATTGCTCTCATCCTGAACACATCACAAAAGGGAAAAAATAGAATAGGACAAAATAAAAGAGAATTGTAATGAGAGTAAAAAAAAAAAAAATTGCACATAAATAATGGAAAAAATAAACAATTAGTTTTAAAGATTACCTTTGCAGAACTGCCACATCTCCCGATTCACAACATATTTCTCCTGACTTTCTCTTATGCTTAAAATTCTTGATTTTTATGTAACTTGGCTTAATACTTTATACTGTAATCAAAAAGGGATTTTTGGTGTCTGAAAGTATTTGGTTTTTCTTGCTTATGTATAAAATAAAACCAAAGTCATTTCATCAGTGAGATATTATGTCACTTTTCTGCTTTGTGTGTGAAACTATGAAACACATGTCCGAAAACTTCGTGTTCCAATTCTCCAATGAATGTCAAGTGCTGCTGCAGGTCATCTGGCATATATTAGCCAATGAGCAACAAAGCAAGATTCAGGTTGTAATTTCATTAGTCTCATCAGTGAATACAGCCAGCTGTTTTGCATACACTCTATGCCTGCAGAACTTCCACACAAAACATATACGTTTTGTGATTTACAATAAAAAAATAGTTGCCATGACTTTTACCCCAACCCTCGTATTTTAAGCAAGATTTCAGGATAAAAATTTAAAACTGATATAGAATAAAGAGATCAGCATACAGCCGAGAAAATAATACAGAATTTTCTTTTCAAATGATTCCTTTCATATATTCTAAAAAAAGTCAGATTTCTTTGAAAAATGAGGGTATTTAAAAATTAAATTCATCTGAAATGATTCCCTGACAAAATCCGCTGGACGAAAGCTCAAAAAAACTCTCTCTGATAATTGCCCCCACCCACACCAAAGAAAGTGCACACTGATAAAAGCTCGCACTGATAGACGCCCACATAATCAAAAGAACCGCTATAAAAATGTATTTATACTTGTAATTATAGTAAATGAAGTATTCAGATCTGAATTTTAATGTCTTAAAATGTCTTTCGATGATAAATCTGAAAATGCATTTTATTATTTATTTATTTAATTAATTTTGGTATGTGTATGTAAAAATGAAAAATATCATTTGAAGTTCCTCACATGCTATTTTGACGTTATAGGGCTGAGATTAAATATAATAATGTTTCATTATTTAAAAAATGGGAGAAATGGTATTCAGTTCAAAGAACAGAGGAAAAAAAGTATTTTACAGCTATGAGGAGAAATTTTAAGCCTTAGTTTTTGAACTAAAATGTTTAGAAAATTCTTGGACTTGGGTATGCTGACAAAAAGCAGCGTTCTCTTTATTTAACTGTTATTTGAAATCAAATTAGATGCCTATATCATGAAATGTAGGAAAAAAATCATTAACCTCCATTGCAAAAATTTCTTTCATTTTAAAGAGATTTTTATTTCATTTCTCAATGTGCCATTGCAGAGAGATTATAAGCTTCTGTGAAAGTGTTTACACTAAAACTGATTTATTAGCGCTATTGATCTGAGATAAATTCTTCCAGTTAGTTTTTCAAAATAATTTGATTGGATAGTTATGATAACATAAATTGACCTTTCTGTCTAGCTTCCATACAGAAAAAATGCTAGTCTTCAAAATATTATACATTAATCTGTTAAAAAAGTTCCTTTCATTTATGCCCAAACTTTGCACATGTTACTGCTTAATAGATATAGCCAAATCACAAGAAAGCTACTTTATTAAACCCTTCGAGATGTTTATAATAATCCTCTTATGCTTTTTTGTAATCAATAAACTAAACATTTCAGAAAATCAGAATTTCATTAAAAATATTATGTATTGCAAACTTATCATAAACTTTGTTCATCTTTCTTGAACTCCAAGTTTTCTGAAGAAAAGTTGGTCTTTTCTCAAACTTTTTAAAAATTATTTTTGTTACCTTCCTTTTTTGTACAAATGAAATCAGGCAATATCCCTATCCTATGCTCCTAATGTATTTTGTGAAATTTGAAATATGAAATAATTTGTCCATCCATGACCATTTTGGTGATCTTAGAAGTAAAGGTATGCTTTCTTGAGGTGATTAAAAAAGTTTACCTTGAAAAATAATTTTATAAATACGCTCTAAATTAAAAATAAGTTGTGTTTTGCATTTTCATTCTGTATCTTAAAGCATTTAATATACTAAGTGCCGAATTTTCTGTCAATGACCTTGGTTGTGGCCACAATAATTTTTAGAAACTAGATTCCAGTAAAATGTAGTTTCCAAATACTCTTTAAATCTGTTTCACTAAAAGGTTTTGTATATAAATAACCACAGTAAAGTAAAATGGACTGTTTTTTAAAAAGTGTTTACAGTTAATCAAGTAGCATAACATTTTTTGTTGAAATAAAATTTATTTTTAATATGCAAGATTACATTTCTTACAATGCTGAGCTCATGGTTCTTAAATCCTCTTGTTGAGTTCAGAATCCTTCGTTATTTAAATTATTTGAATGGTTATACTGTTTTCAAACATACAAAAGTTTAAATGAAAAATATTACTTTTATGTAAATTTTAATATATGTAATTTAATTTATTAGAAATAGTTCAATAGCTTTATTTTTAAAGAATAGTTTTGCTTCGACATAATAAGCATGTTTAATTAGTTTATCAAAAACTTGTTAGAGACACTATCCAGTCAGGAACCAGCATACTTGTCAACTCTGCAGTTCTACTGCTAAAATAGTGAATTATCCTTTTAAAATGATAAAGAAATATTTTCAAATCATCAGTTATTTCATTCTTTTCATTTTCCAGCTGCTGAAAATTAAAAAAATTTTTTGAAATTCGACCTAAATCTTTAGACAAAAATAATTCAGGAAATAGACTAGAGAAAATGCAAGAGAGGGTTTTTTATTTTCAGTTACAATCGAAATTTCAGATATTATTTGCTAGTAAATAACAAAAATGTCTAAAATTCTCTTTAATTTTTTTTGCCAATCTCTAATGCTCTCCTCTCCCTTTGGCACCGTAGGTTCAAAAGGAGATAAAAAAGCAAGTCAAAGCTGTCCTCTCTTTAACTGCTTTTTTTTTTTTTTTTTTTTTTTTTTTTTTTCAATTGGCTGGGAGGAAGAAAAGGAACGCAAATGGTTCCGCCACCTGAATAGCTAGTGGTAAGTTAGGAAACTGCATGATAGAAGCTCACAAGATGAATGCCTACTTAAAAAGAATGCACATTTTCAGAAAATTCAAAATAGTTATGACTTCCTAAAGAATTTTACAAATAATTATTATGATTAAATATGAAATTTCAAAGTGGGAGTGAAGGTAATTTATGTAAAATCGAAGTAGTCAAAATTCAACTAAATTATTTGAAACCTTGCTTTTGATTCACTATTAAAACGGCATCTTCATATTAAATTCATTATAGAAAAATTTTTCTGAACTTTTAAATAATTTATAAATTATTCTCTGTACAAGATGAAAATTTTCATGTATTTTATACTCCTTATAATTTTGTAGAATTGAAAGAAGCAGTGTGGCCAGCATTCCATTTCACCTCCTTTTGACAGACATATATGAGGAACATTTTTTTCCCCATAAATATAACAAAATGACACGTAGATATGTTTTTATTATATTAATTTTACTTTGATTCTCTTTTCTATATACATATAGGGTTTCAATTCAGTCGGAGGCCAAAATAAAATGTTCCGTTACTTTATTGTTCAATTATTTGTTATTAATTTATCTTTTTGATTAATCTGTTTTGTATAACTGAAAGCAAAATGGGAGAAATATTAATTTTAACATAGCATATAAATCAGCATGGGTTTTTATCAGCATGGGCATATATCAATGTGCACTTACATTAGTGTGAGTATTTATCATGTGGGCAATTACCCCAGTAGGGTTTTTTTGTGGGGGGGGATGCATTTTCATTCAGTAAGCTTTTGTCCAATCACTATCTGAAATGTATGGACTGGTTTGTGTTGTGCTGCCATTTAATATTAATAAAGAAGTTTAAAAGTAACATTTAAAGCCTCTTTCTTCCCTCCCCTATTCAATTTTTCTTTCTATACAAAGGGACTTTTTTTCTTTTTTCTGGACTTTCTTCTCGGAAAGAGTTCACCGAGTTGCAGAAAATGACTGTTCATCATAGTTATAGGTAAAACAAAAATGCTGCAAAGCTAGGGTTGAGAAACAAGAGGAAACTGTACAATTACTGCGATAGCACTATATGTGGTACAGTTAATATTATCTAAATGTGATTTATTTTTGTTTAAACTGCCACTTCCATTAGTGTTGTGTGATGTCTGTCTGCAAGAGTTCATTTCTAGTATCTTGGCAAATTTTCACATTTTTTGCTATTTTTAGTAATTAATAGCTACATATATTTTTTGCATTCATGACATATACAACTTTATATGTTTTCAATACTTGTAGACTATGTGATTTGCTTACTAGTTTCATTTAATGTGCAAATCTCACAAGTTTTCCATTATATTTATTAAAAAAATATCCATAAATGAATCCACATACTTCATATTCATGTAAAAAGCCAGCTATATATAATTTAGAATCCATGTTTGATATTTATTATGCATATATTTTATAGTCTTCCGAATGAGAGTAGTATCGAAAAAGAATCGGAAGTTTCTGTATGCGAGACTCTACCACCTGGAGTGGAAGATTTTGACAAGTCGTGTTTGACTGATCCATACAGTGAACCCAGATATGCTGCAGACATTTTCAAGTATTACAGAGAAAGAGAGGTATTTTGTAATCGCTGCATATTTTGTTTATCCACTTTTAAAAGCATCTTAAGGTAGAACACTTTCATAATTTTAATATGTGAGCTTTTTAAATATTGATAATGAACATATAAACATATATTAAGATTTCACTGAAACAATATTAGTTGTTTCAATTTTTCATAACATTGTAAAAGGCTGAATTTGAGTTGGTATCTTTTGCTTGCACACATATTATATTAAAAGTCTAGTAAAAATTTTATATATTTTCATCATCAGAACATCAGTTTTCAAAGCTTAAAATTATTTTCTAATGCTTTAATCATTCTGATTTATTTCTTCTTATACAGTATTACAGTTTATAGAGAAAAGCATGTTAAAACAGGAAATATTTTTTTGCTTTTAATAGCAATTTACAGAAAATGAAATTCTGCCTCTTTTATATTATATATTGAGCTATAATAGAATTTTATTCCCTAATTGTTGTGAAGAGGCAAATTCTTCAATTTAGCAGAATTAAATTGAGTAATTACGCACTTTTGGAAAGTGATGATTAGATTTTGCATTATTAATCACAGTTTACCATTGCATTTATAAACCACATGAAATAAGCTCTTTCTTTTTAACTTTCATCTGAGATGTTTTTTATTTTTACATGTATAAAAGCAGTAGGAAGTGAAAACTTATTGATGTTAAAATTTCATGGCTACTAACTTTCCCAGTTTTTCATCACATCTTGCGGTCTCCTGTCAAATAACCAAATCTCTCAGTTTTTAACCTGTTTTCTAGCCTGTACTATTGAAAATATTTTTCAACAATAAATTAAATTTATTGAATTCATGGAACTTAAGTTGTGTGAATTTCATACCTCTATGGTGTTTGGATGGCTATTAAACACCTATTCGCAGAAAAAGAAATTATTTTAATAGATCAAAATATTAACGTTGCATAAGAATAACATTAATCAAAGTGATAACACGGAGTATAAACATGAAGTTGTAAGACAAATGGGGGAAGGGACTTTTGTCACTGTCCCACAAAATCAAAGTTGGTAGCATACATGCACTAGATACAGAAATCAGGATGTGATTCAATTAATGCTCATTTCAAAAGAAATGGGGAGAGGCAAAACTCCACCCCTAGTTATCTTCTGTATAATTTTTCTTATTACATTTTGTTGGATCTGAATTGTCTTATCTACCATAAACAATCGCAGAGCTTTATACGAAGATTCAGCTGATGTTTAATCAGTAAATATTTGTATTCAGTTTTATTTCATATCAATATATGTCACATTATTAAATTTATTCACGTAATAGTACGTATAATGACATATTAATTATAATTTTATTTTCAACATGTTTAGAAGTGCTTTGATAAATTCAAAATTTTCCTATTCAAGATATTTTCAGTTTAACTGTAAAAATTTACAAAAGCATATAAACCAAAGAAAATAAAAATCTAATTAAATATATATATATATTTTTACATCAGTTGAATAACCTGTATCATGCATGATAAAACAAATTTAAGTCAATTTGGAATACTTTTGAAATGTTGCCGTCCTACAGCATGAAAACCACCTGGAGACTCCTAATTTAGTCTCGGTTTAACTTCCAGAAAAATTCTCAAAGAGCAATGATATGTCAAGCTCCAGGGACATGCTATCACGCACCAAACATCATGGAAAGAGACCATTACAGAGGAAGACACTTGTGCACTGATGTGATATTTATGGACCATAATGCCCACCCACATAGAGTTTGAGGGTGGTGCAGAGTTATCTGGAGAATGAAACTATTCCAAATTTGTGGGGGCCTGCTAGATCACCAGACCTGAATTCCATAGATCATGTGTGGGATATATATTGAGACCGGAGATAGCAGGTCGTAGTCTGCCGCCAGGCACCCTGTATGAGCTCTGACTTGCACTACTACAGCAATGGGTGCTACTGCCACAAGCGACTGACGGTGGTATTGCCAGCTTTTTCTTGTCAAGCATGCATTTCAGCTAGAGGGTATCATACCTGTTGTATATGTAATGTTTCCATTGCATATTATCCTAACCTATTTGTTAATTCGTGATGGTCTTAATACATGTGTTTTTGTATGTCTGTGCTTTATTTTTTGCTGTGTGGTCTAATAATGCCATAACAACCTCTTGGATCAGTTTCATGCATATTCATTAAATAGCTTTTGTTTTATTCTGTGTTTTACTTTTATTGCTTATTTTTTAGCAAGAGTGTATTTTCATTCATGTATACATGCAGCACCTGTGTATGTAATTATACCTTGGATAGTCTGTCTTTGATTGCTGCAGATTCACCATAGGCTGATTTAAAAATTTTGAAAGAAATCAAATTTTAATCGAGCAAAATAAAAGTGAAAAAAAAAGTACACAAAGTTATTTTTAATATATAAATGATCCATAGTTGAGTTTGTTTTTATGTAGTTTTAAAATTATATGATACGATCTGTAGTGAATCTTTTTAGGCATTCCCCATTGTATATGTATGTAGTTTTGCTTGGGCCCATTTGTTTGCGAGTTCTGACTGCTGCCACTGAAGGTGGTAAAGTTGCTAATAATATGGTGGATCTTAAACAGCAATTTGGTTTCAGTGAACTGCAGTCTATCAGTGTAATTAAGGACTTGGAATCGAATACTACAGCTGGATAAGGGAATTATTTAAAAAAAAAAAATCAGAATAGCCGATCGTTTTCAGAGCATGTAATGGAATCTGATTTCAATATTGAATATAGCTTTGCAATTATTTGTATAATAAACTGTGCTGTTTGTTACTACAAGTTAATGTGTGAAGAGAAAAGGCCACAAAAAATATGGGGAGCACACCAGTGTTAAAGTCTATGAACACTAGCAGTTTGACCTGAGATCAAGCCTTAGTAAATAGGCTGGTTGCATGGTTGATTTTTGTGGTTTTCCCCTTGTGTAATGTGGATACCAGCCGGTTTCCATTAAAAGGGAATGAAGGCACCCTTCCCCATAGGCTCGATAGCCCTCTAATTGCTTTGCTTTAATCAATTAACCTAACCACAGAAAAGATGTTCATATATCAATATTGCACTTTTCAGAAAATAAAAAATGAGTTACTAAAACATGGTTTTAAAACGTTTTAAGATATTTGAATTTATTTATTAAAAAAATTGATAAAAGATTTTTGGGGAACCAGTTATCAATTTTTGCATGTGTTTAGTTACCCTCTGAGCGGTGCAGGATTTTTGATCTGCCATGAAGAACTGTATTTAAACAGTATTTATTTATTGAGTTTGTATTATTACTTATTTTAGTCTGTATTTTCATAAACTTACATTCATTAAGATGATATTTACATTGTTAAAAAAAGTAAGAAAGCAAAATGTTTTAAATTATAAGCTAATATATGCCAAGTAGCAAAACTTCTGATGACCAGATAAAGCCGGTCATAACACTCAGAGGGTTAATTAGTCTGATCTCAAACAATCTGGATACTGCTGGGGCCAGTGACCCAGACCATACGAAATATAATAATTTTTGAAAAAACACAGCTTTATATGCTGATTCATGCCAAAATAACAGTAATTAGCTATTGTTGGGCATTATTTTAAATCTGTCTTTTGTATTTCCTGCATGTGAAACAGTATATCAGAAATGTGTTTAAAAAAAAGGTACATTTTATTTCAGTAAAGATTGCATAGTTAAATAAAATATTATTCCCATGAAACAATATATAAAAAATTATTTGACAAAAAGTTACATGCTATCTTGAACATACAACCCATTCTTATTTCAACTGAAACAGGAACGGTTTGTTAAAATTTACTCTTAAAATTTTTATTTCTAATATATATTAACTGGATATATTGTCTTTTATTTCTCTAAAACAAAATCCGTAACGTGTTCACTTCAATTAAAATTAAACTACAGTCTTTTTTAGGGCATTAAATAATAAAACTAACATATAACATGCATAATTACATTATGGGGCTTCATTTGTGATACATCAGATTTTAATAAAAAATTAGTTGTGTTGCTGCTAAAGTGATTTTTAGTAGATTATTTTTTAATGAACTTGCCTTTTATATTATGTAAATTAATGAAAACATTAAGATGTAAATATAATTGGAATTCTGCTTGTGGTATGATTTTATTTTTTGTTTTTAATCTGTGTTTACATATTGGTGTGATAATAGTGAAATTTATTTTTGCAGAAAATGTTTCCTGTGACAAAATACCTTGACAAACAGGCAGAACTTTCAAAAGCAATGCGAGCTATTTTAATTGACTGGATGGTTGAAGTTCAAGAAAGCTTTGAGCTTAATCACGAGACTCTGTATTTAGCTGTGAAATTAGTTGATCGATATCTTATGAGTCAAACTGTGCCAAAAATTCAGTTGCAATTAGTAGGAGCGACTGCCATATTTGTGGCAGCAAAACTTGATGTAAGAATGTTCGCAGAATAGTCTTCCTTATTTCTTTATATTTTATTGTGCAATTCAATTTTTGTGTTATTTTTTAATATTTTTAATATAAAATTTTTATGCAGACAAGTCCAAAACTTAGGATGAAAAATATTTTTGTATGTACAGAGAAAACTGTCATTAATAGAGACACACAGGCAAAATATTTATTTCCCAATATTTAATTCAAGATAATATCAACATTCTGTTGAAATTAACAAATCTTTTTCAAAAAGTGAACGGAAGGATAACACATGAATAAAACAATCCACATTTGGGGTCTGCGTTTTGACTGGGTAAGGAATAGGTCAACCTTGAATTGGGGTGCAGAAATCATAATGCCATGACACACTCATTATTAAATGATTAAGAAGTTACGGAAGCAGATTATTTCCTTCCTTATTTAAAGCGTGAATTTAAGATTTGTTTCCTGGAAAAGACCTGAAAGCTACAGTTTGACTTCCCATGATAATGTCCTCTACTTACTAAATGGGACTGGGGTTTGAGGAGCATATTGGCCATTCAGTTTGATAGATACTCAGACTTTCCAGATTTGCATTAATTTGATGAAGTGTGGCATTTTCACCCATAAAAAGAAATGTTTAAATGCCCAAAAAGCACCACTGAACAAGCAAACATAACATTCAATAACTTCTTTACAATAGAGGTTGCCTATTATGATGCCATTGCCTCCTATTACCTATAGCTTAGTACACTCATTAGTAGTGGTGCCATCTCCTTAACACCTCAGAATGATACCTTTCTTATAAACTTTGCTGTTGGTATACATTACCCCTTTTATGCCAGATAATATGCTATTTGAAATTCGTTTATTGACTGATTTCAGTATCATTGGAGAAGCGGACATTGGTCCATTACTGCATCAGTCATTTTGGTGGATTTGATGCTGCTGTAAATAAATGCCCTCTGGTGCTCTCTAAATGTCGTACATGATTAGTCTTCAAATAGCCTGTATAATTTCAGAGTTGCCAACTCTCCCAATTTAGGCGGGAGACTCTCGATTTTCGACCGCTCTCCCGCCAACCCGATTTACAATATATTTCTCCTGACTTTTTCTTATTCTTAAAATTTCTCACGATTTTTATGGAACTTGGCTTAATACTTTGTTATATGGACAAACAAACAAACAAAAAAGTGATTTTTTGACGTCTAAAAGCAATTGAATTTTCTCTAAATTATATCTAAAACAAAACCTTGCGAATCAGATAACTTCTGCTTTGTGAGTGAGAGCATATACGTATCCAGAAACGTCGTTCTCCAGTTCCCCAATAGGCATCGAGCTCCACTGCGTGTCATCTGGCATATATTAGCCAATGAGGACAAAGCAAGCCTTTATTATGTTGGGTTATAACAACTAAATTTCAGTCTTTTTGTAACTTTATAAAGAAATAATGACTTCCTGCATTGCATCTGAAATATATTCTATTTGTCTAAAACACTACAAGTCTGGAGATAATGCTTTGATGATTCCAAACTCCACTGCAACTTATCTCATTTGAAGACTTCTAACTTTTCTACACTCTTTTCTCATATCAAACTGAGCTGTCTTTGATACATGACAAAAATTTATATTTATTCTTTCACATTCAGAATTTCTGACAAATGCAGGTGAGAATTCATTTGTTGAGGTAATGAGAATTCAGTTTTGCTTCCTTTCAAATTGTAATATGACTTCTAAATGGAAGGATTGAAAATTTGAACATTCATTGCCTTTCTAGAGAGCATAATTTAATTGTGAATGTTGTAACATATTAATTCATTAGATTTTGTATAATAGTGTTCATCGTAAAATTTTGGACAGGCATGTATAAAGTGATTTAGTTATGAGGAAGATTGATAAAATCTGGAATCTAAACTTGTAAAGAAATTATATTTCAATTCACTTTAATACAGGAAAATACAAGAAAATGTGCAGAAAGCTAATACAGTCAAAAGTCGTTAATTCGGACACCCATAATCCGGACCTCAGAGCTACAAACTTTCTGCGCATGCGTCGCGTTGACGCACACGCAAAGGCATTTACGCCTGCACGTAGGACCTTTACGGCTGCGAATATGGGTGTGCACAAGCGCATAATACGTTTACACATGCGCGTTTAATGTATAACGGACGGTATAACTAAGCTAAAATTATCTAATTCAGTTAATGTTGCAGATTGCGTTGTTCCTTAATCTTCAAATTGGATCCGGCTTATTATTTTTTGCAGACTGTTAGAGCAATTTTATAAAAGTAAGCTTGAACTTTCGATTATGTCAAATAGAATTTCCGATATATATTTGCTAATATGTAAAGGATCTAAAGCGAATGTATGTTTCGAAATCCGAAATCTGTTTATCAATTTCACGCAGTTCGGCGGGGGGGAATGCCTCGGCGCACAATGATTTGGAAGTTGATCTCTCATCACTATCCTTATCTTCAAGGCAGATGTTTTTATTTTATTTGGCTATAATTGCTTAACTGAAATGTAGTATTTCATCTTGATGCACTCCGTCTTTGATATGATTTAAAACAAGTTCCTCGTCATTATAATTCGCTTCCGATAGTCAAGAAAGTAACAGAGGTTATTGAAAACAAAAACGTTTCAATTGACGAATTAGTCGGTATTCTCGACACAGCAATTGTAGGACTTGAACAGCGGAACTTTGTAACTAAACAAGAAATTATGTCTGTTTAATAGAATTAAATAGAAATATTATCACATGAAATGAAGCAACTTAAACAACTACGTTGAAAAAATGTTTAATAAAGTAAACAAATAAAATTTAAGCTTTTTCTTTTTGTAAATTTTGATACCCTTTAGATCATAATTGTTCTTTATTTCATAAATTATGGTTTCATATTTTTAATTTTGCAATTTCTGCATGCCATCTTACCAGATTTAAACTGATGATCTATAATCCGGAATCGCCGAAGTCCCGACGAGTCCGGATTAACGACTTTTGACTGTAAGTGATATTTTACATCGTTAAATATGCTGATATTTTTAAACCATACAGCCCTCTGGGCAAAATGTATTTATGTCAGTTTCTCTCTATATATAGTGCAAAGTCTGATATTTTGATTGATCAGAATTTTGGCAGTTCTGCATGTTAGATCATTAGTTGTATGCAAAAGCTTTACATGAAATATGAAGCACAGTCATGCCCTTAAAGGAACCAAAATCTAGGGGAAAAAAAACTTTAAATTTTATATTTTGTTTTATTAAACATTATTTTCAACATTTTTAAAAATGTTTATAGAAGTACATAATTTCATACTAATTATAAAGTTCTGTTGCTTGAAATCTGTAATTGCCAGTTGAAGAGCTTAATTTCCAGTGCTGGCCAGATTTAAATTGAATAAAATATCTAATTCTGTTTTCCTGTCACGCTAAGAAATGAGGACATCATTCTCCTACAAACAAAAATGAGTCTTTAGTGTTTTAATTATTATATACAAGGATAAAAAGACAGAAAAGTTGCACTTCTCATGATTACGCAAAGGCCGAATTGAAAATGTGGTTTGATAGACAATAGGTGTTTAAAGGTAATGTAATGTATAGTATACTCTACCCCTCCTCCCCACCAAAAAAAAAAAAAAAAAAAGCTAATTTGGAGGGGAAAAAAAATCTATTTATGACGCTTTTCTCTTTTCTTGAGATCTAGATAATACATTATTCTAATTATTGGCCATCTAAATTTCAAACTTTGTACTATAAATATTTTCTACATTTTATTATGAAAAATATACAGTGCCTTATTTGTTTTTATCAGAGTTAGACTTGTTACTTTTGCTTGAGCATGGTGATTATTTTAAAATAATGGCTCTGTAGGTATATCAAATTGTTCTTCATTTGTGAAATGTGCCAAAGTACATATTTAATTTTCGCTTTTAAATATATATGAAATGCTTTTAAGCTTATTTTGTAATTCTGTAGCTTAAAAGAATTTAAGTTAATGTTATATAAAAATATTTGTTTTCATGACTGGATTTTTGTTTATGAGAAGGATTTTTTCAATGAATTTATTTTAAGGATAGCTTGGAATAGGTTATCTTCCATTCTTTGAAGTAAAGAATATTTTTCCATCTTAAGCTTAAATAATTTAATTTTCAGAGTTTTTCCAGTGTTGGGTTTATCAATGTTCTACATTATTTGAATTTAGTATGTTTAATCATATCTGTAAAATTTAAGCATTTTATATTTTCCAATTAAAAAAAACTTATATTTCAGAATTTGTTTGCTAACTACCTTTGCCCAAAAGTAAATCTCATTTATTCAATAAGCATTCAAAAAGAAAATTATTATTTTGGGACACATATATAGATCTGAACTAGTATTTATTATGATTGAAAAGTTCATTATTATTATTTACAGTAAGAAAATTTAAATATATTTTTAGATATAGCAGAATGTTTCATTAATATCTTTAAATGGACAAAAAATGAAGAACATTTTTTCTTCTGTTTTTGCTGTATAATTGTTGCCATTTCATATTTTAACATTGTTTCAAATATTTCTAAGGTCTTTCTAGAGATCTGAAATAATCTGTGGAGTCATTAAATGTGACGAAAAAATGTGCAGTGCTCTTGCGAAGATTCGAATACCAGACCTCCTAATTGCTAACCAGATGTACTTTGAACTGCACATTCAGTGAGAATGCCTTCCTAGTGCAGTTCAAAATATCTTGCATTCTCCTCCACTTTAAAGGTTAACTGAGGAGGTGAGGACCCAATTTCTAAATACCTGGTGGTGACTAATTATCAACCAATATATTTTAGTTCGGTGCCAATTGTAAAGTTGTTAGGTTTATCGGGTTTTAATGAAAGTTTCCCACCACAAATATCCTTTGCGCCAACAGTTCGTGTTGTGTTTAATTTTATTTTGTCGAACAATTTTTGGCATTTGAAAGAAAGAGACTTGCTTTAGAACAAACACTGTGTTGTGAAATTTATAAAAAAAAATATCTTTATCATTAAGTACAAGTTGTTTGAAATGGAACTATCACACTACCAGATTAGAAACATCTTTTATTTCCAGTTCTGTTGTAAATTGTCAGCTACAGAATGTCACCAAATCATATGTATAGCTTTAGGTACTTAATATTGTATCGTATGACACTGAAGGTTTGGTACCAAAACTAGAACTATGACATTAAACAAGCAGAGTGCTCTTCCCGGCCTTCTGATGTTGATGAGGCCCACCTATGAGAACTTGTGGATGAAGAACAGTATGCAGCCATACAAGAACTTACTAAGGAGTTAGACGTTAATGCCTTGTCCATTAGTTGCTCTATGCATCACATACATTGGCATACAAGTTCAATTGCTGGGTGCCACATGAGTTGACTCGGGCAGATAAGGACATACATTTTCAGGCCTACACTAATCTGCTGAAATATCAATGCAAGTACAAAATTCTGGACCAGATAAAAAGCGAATTTACTTCAACACAAGCCGAAAAGGAGATTAGTCTGCACCCAATGAGCTCCTCGATAGCATCGCAAACACAATTTGTGAAACAAAAAAGATCATGCTTTGTATCTGGTTGGATTGCCGTGGTATTATCCATGAAGAGTATTTGGAAAGAAGTAAAAACCTCAACAGTAAGGTGTATAGCGAGATGCTAGTCCGTGTTGATGCTGCTATCAAGGAAAATCTTCGAACTAAGTTCTGGCGGAAAAAGGCAATTTCCTGGAAGGCCACATGTGTCTGCATTCACCGAGTGGGCTAAATATGGACTCGAATGGGATCTTTTGCTACACCCACCATATAGCCCCAATATTGCTCCTTCGGACTTCTACGGTTATTTTTCACTCCTGCAGCTACATTTTGTTGGTGCTATCTTCCATTCTGCACAGGACGTCCGAAATGAGGTTGATCTGTTTTTGAATTCACAGCCACCGAGTTTCTGGCCTGAAGACTTTAAAAAAGTACCAAAATGTTGGCAGAAAATCATAGATTTGGGTGGTAATTACTACCTGCACTACAGTTACTGCTTTCATGTGTTTCCCCCCTAACTTTGTTAAGAATCTTTTTTGGTGGAAAACTTTCGTTACAACCAGATATTTTGGAGTAGGGATTATGAAAAATGTGCAGTGCCCTCATTTAAACTCTAGACCTCCCAACTGCTAGGCAGATGTGCTTAGCTACAAAATGAAGGCACAGGGTAAAGGAGAAAATACCTTACAATTCGACATTTGTATGCTTAAATCACCAGTGATCGAGTATGTAGAGCTGTGGAACTAACTGATAATTTAGGATTCAATTCCTAGAAGATAAATAGGTAGACTATATGAGATTTTCAGGGCTCTCTACGTACATAATGCAATTAATTTTCTTGGAATCTTCCACAAAGGTGTCTAATCTCTTCTGTTTTTGATACTTCCTAAATGTTTTGCCATAGAATAATAAATTAACCGGTGATAAAATGGTTACATTCTGAATTTTTGATATTTGCTTTGTTCTGGTTGTTTACGTTGAATAGCAGAGCTGGCTGCCATATGATTGGGCCAAATTAACACCTGGATGTTCATAAATTTATAATATCTTTTTGGCTTGGATGTTCATTCAGCTGAAAGTCTGTTCAAGAGATTGATGCTAGGATATAGTAAATATGAAATATCTAGATTCAACTGTTTAACCATCGAATATTCTTGGTCAAAACTGTTTTGTCACCAATTAAGCATCTAAAGGCTATTACAAGCATTCTTCTATCTCAAACATAGGTATTCTTCTTTTTATTCCACTATGTATATGCTGGGACATGCAGATTAATTTTTATAATAATAATAGCTATCAAATATGCTGTTTTTAAGATTGATTTTTTTTTATATTACAAAAGAAAAGTTTACAAAGAAGATTTTAAAAAAATTAAATGTTATTTATTTTTCTTTCATATTGTCTTTATTTAATTCTTAATCTATGAGAATATATTATTATTTAAGCTAATTTGGTCATATCTGTATGCAGGAAAGACAACCACCTTTAGTTGATGATTACTTATACATATGTGATGATTGTTACAACCGTGAACAGTTAATTCAGACTGAAATAAAAATCCTCAAGACCGTAAATTTTGACCTGGGAATTCCACTGTCCTATAGATTTTTACGTAGATTTGCTCGTGTAAGTATACAAAATATTTATCAAGAATGTTTTGTGTAGTTTTATTTTTCAAAAACTCATAAGATTTTATTGCTGGTTTAGTGTGGTCGAATTGGCATGGAACTTCTGACATTAGCTCGATATATTCTGGAAACTTCTTTGATGGATTATGATCTGATTGATGTTTTGGATTCTAAGATGGCAGCTGCTTCTCTGTTTCTTGCTTTAAAGATGAAAGGAGAGAAATGGGTATGAATTATTTAGTTTAACATTCCTGTTTCTGTTATAAGGTTAATGTATCTAGTATTTAACTTTTATATTGTTTTTAATGTGAGGCTTTTAGACACCTGAATTTGTATTGCAAAATATATTATAGATTTACTATTTTTCAGCATTTGTCAAAATATACCAATTTTTAGTTTCAGATCTATGTATAAGAGTTGTCTGTATTTGTACTCATTTCTATGACATACAATTATATTTGTAAATGATTTTTACTAGACTTCAGAAACATTATTTAATGCTTAATCTTGAAGTTGCTTAAATTTATGGCTTGTCAGAATTTTATTATTTGTATTTACGACCAAAAAGAAAAAAAAAGGGGGGGAAGAGTTTAAGAATTCATGCAAGCTCATTCTTCAAGCCTTTCTACATCACACATAAAAGGACCTTCAATATTGAGGCAAATGATTTTGCAGGAGTAGCTTTTGATGGTTTAACTACAGAACTAGCGAAACTAGTTCTGCAAAATTTACAAATTTTACACTGATTCTTGTTGTTTGACTTCTCCAATAATCATTATTTTGCTAGTTACTTTAACCTTCCTTAAGTATAGAAAATGTTAGATGTTAGTGTATATGTTCTGTGCCTATCTGTGGGGATTTCAAAATCACTAGCCTGTGCAGCCGATGAAAATGAGTTAATTAGAAAATCCCTTTCTCATGAATGAATTTCTTGTATCTACTACCATTAGACTGAATATCTGCCATCACCGTCACCTTTCAAAGTGCATTTGCTGTTCTTCCAGTTTTGGAATATATTTGCTACCGCAATCTTACTTCTGTTACATGTTGATATTATTTCAGGTGCCAAATAATGGGTATATAATCTGATAAGCCATTTTCCGGGTGTTAGAACATTAAAAGAAAAAAAATTCCCATCTAGGTTAATTATGCTTATTTCTTCATTTTTTTGCTGTTTTGGTTTAGGAATGCTAAAGCCTTCTTCCAAAAGATGGAAGAAACCTGTGACATAAAACTAGAAAATTTATATTAAGTTTTGCTACATGATAATGCACGTAGCTATACTGCAAATGTCATAATACTGAAGTTACACACATTAAAATAGGAGACTGTTGAGCATTCGCTTTACAGTCTTGATCTCTCTCCATGTGATTTTCACACCTTTGGTCCTTTAAAAAAGGCCTTGAAAAGTCAATGGTTCCGATCAGATGGAGAAGTGCAGCAGGCAGTTTGACTACTTCAAGCAGCAGAAAAAGGAATTTTAGTAAACAAGTATATTCAACCTGGTGAAGCAGTGGGATGATTGCCTAAATGCTAAAGATGATTTTGCATAGCTGGCATGCCAAATCAGGACTGTACAGCCTTCAGATGGAAACTTTTTGATTGCCCCTTATATATTACTATATATATGTGCAGGCTGTAAATTATTTTCATGATAAAAATAAGCTAAAAACTGTAATGTGCATAATATTAAAATTCTAGAAAGATGCTGCTGTAAATGAATGTATCATATACAGAATATTCTTTTTCCAGACTCCTACTCTGCAGTATTATTCTGGCTATCAAGAAAATGAGTTGAGTGACCTTGTGATATCATTGAATAAAAATATATCTGCTGTACCCAATAAGCAGCTACAAACTATTCGCAAAAAATATTCTCATGAGTAAGTACTTTTTTTTTTCCTGTAGCAAAGCCTATTTTTCAAAGATACGATTTTTTTAAAAATTTAAATATTACCTTTAGTATTGCTCTAGTTAAATTGTAATTAAGTGAAATTAAGAACTAAGTTAACTAAGAATTTTTTTGGTATACTTAAATATTGTAGACTATATTTTAGATGTCTATTAAATAGCATGGTATCCATAATCAAATGTTAAATATGAGCAGATTCAATTTTTTAGGTCAATAGAACCATTACTGGGAGCTTAGAGAATTATTTTGATATATCCTTTGAGATGTTATGCAAATGAATGAAAATGTCATTGAAATTTCAGCAAATATTTCTAACTTACCTATTCATAGTTTCAGATAATTTTGTTTTAGTGTAGGGGTTGTCATCTTAGAGAAGATGATTATTGATGATCGTGGTCATGGACTTATGTTTATGGATTTACTGTTTTTAAGATTCTCCATTTTTTAAAAAATATTGAAATACAGCACCTTTGTTTATTAATACCATTATATTAATAAAATTAAATTTATAAAGGTGAATAACAAATATATTTCCCAAAACATTCAGGTTTGGTGTATTCTGTAAGTCAATACTATTTAAAAATAAAAGAAATCAATTTACGTATACGCAGGACTTTGCATTAAAAATTTTGTTAAGTAATTTAAAAAAATACTCCTTGCTTAGTAAAATATTCATCCTTGAAGTTTGCTTACTTGATTTTCTGTTTATTGCTTTCCTTTTCACACTCTTTTGATTAAGTATTTCCTTTAAGGGTGTTTATCTGTGCATATGCCGTAGCTGTGAAATGCACTTATGAAGGCAGTTACTATATCTCTTCAAGCATGTTACAAGTTTCGCCCTGATATTTCAGAATGCCCCAGATTTTCATGAATAAGTAGTATTTTCTTGGTTATAATTCCAAAATGACCATTTCATGTTGTACCTTGACTCTTTTTCTTCCAATATACATTCAATTAAAAATCGGATATGTCAATAACCCTCGGAAGGATATATACATGGTGAGAGATAATTTTGTAGGTAGTCTTTGTGCTTGGTTCAGCCAAGCATTTTTCATCCACAAAGGAGTAAAACGTGATCATTCTCATTTTGTTGATTGTTATAACAACGAAAGTTGCCGGATATCCAGTATTTGTAGTAGCTTTTAAATTTATATGTCAAGCTGAACTTATTATAGAGTTTATTTATATTTTAAAACACTTTTAATATATATATATATATATATATATATATTTTCTCTTTTAGAATTTTCTTCAAAGTTGCAAAAGTTCCTACACTGAATTTAAAGCAATTGAGAAGAGAGGATCAAGAAACTTAATTGCTTACTATATCATTGGTACAAGTATATCATATTAAATGTATTTGTTTACATCTGTAAATTTTCATGAAAACTGTAGATAAATTTTATACTGTATTTTCTTATTTTTATGTGTGAGTATATGTACTTGAAGAATGACTGTTTGTATGACATCATTGAAATTATATTAATACTGCTTATCTAAATACATAATTTATTATTTTTATTGAAAGTCTGAGAATCTTAATTCTTCAGCAAAATTATCTGTACTTGTTATAAGCAATGCATCATCATGAGGATTTTGTGTGTAATGCAATTTTGATTAGCATGTTTGACAAATTAAAATGATGTCCATTTATATTTTTTAAATAAAAATTCACTTAATTTTACTCTTTTCTTGTATTCATTTATAAAACATTTAGAAGTAAGGAAAGTATTTCGCATTTTTGTTTACAGTGAAATGGATAAAAGAAAATATTAAATGTTTAACATTTTTTGCAAAGTTAGAAGAAATATACAAAGTTTAATTACAGTTTGTAAAATTTATATAAAACAGATCAAAGGTGTACCTCTTCCCATCTCCTAAGTTCTGCCTAAGTTTTTAATTAGTTTTCCAATGCAGTTTAAATATGTTCATTATCTATTATAAAACTTGTCAGAATATAAAGAAATCTGATTGTCATATTTTTTATTCAAAGATAAATGTGTTCCTAATATGTCTTAAACATGATGCATTTTTAATTAAATTTTATGCAAATTCTTTGCTTTTTGCCTAAGGAACCCAATGTCTTGTTTCACATTTAATTATGCAATCAAATTGAATTGCAGGTTTAGTACGGTCCTTAAGAGTCCTTAAGTTTTTTGGAATTGATTTTTGGTTTTAAAAGTCCTTAATTTTGGCCAAAATCGGCAGAAGGTCCTTAATTTTAATCATCAGAAATGTCTATTTTTACAAGTGCCATTTTGAGTGTAAATTATCATTTTGGAGGAATATATTTGGCGATTCACTGACATATATGGTTATCTTTTGAATGAGTTCATGGGTTATAATTTGTTCCTATTTCTAATATAAATGATGAGATACTCTAGTTTCTCAGCAAGAAGTGAAACAAGCATTTTGGAATTCATTCTTTCTAAGAAGAGCTCTTAAACAACTTTTTGCCTTTATTAAACGCTTCTGAATTTGGCGACTTATCAACATTTTGGCGATTTTAAGATAAGTTTCTATAAAAAGTTTTTAATTCTGAGATCTGGGAATTTTTCGACAATTGTTTTTAAAACATTGCAACGTTGATAAATTTTACTAAAATTATAGTAATATATTGAAATTATACTTAAAAATAACATTAAAATAAACATTTTTATTTTTCGCTGTCATATTATAATGTTTTATTTTGGCAACTTATAATACAGTATTTTGAATCTGAAAAATAAACAAGGTATAATGTATAGAAAATGTATGTATAAAGCACAATTTACAAAAAGGGTTCTTAGCAAAAGCAAAATTAGCTATATAGTTAAATTAAAAATGTCTTTGTTAAAATTTTTCCATAGTAAGAGTTTTTCCTGTGTAATCATATCAGAATATGCATCAGTTTTCTCTATAAAATTCCTTTTACATTTTATTATCCCCTTCCCAATATTTCTGCCTTTTTGCTATTACAGAATTTGTAGGGATATTTTTTCTTCAGAATTTTAGACATTGGAGCTTCGAAAATTTAAAAGAATTTAAAGGCAAGATTTATAGACCCACAATTCGATAGAGATATGTGACAAAATAAAAAATGTCTCCATGTTATTAACACATAATGGATGTATTTTACACAAAGTTTGTGATGAATTTCTTACTTTTTGGAGAACGTCTGGAAGAACAATGAAAACATAATACGGTCAAAAGTCTTTAATCCGGACTCGTCGGGACTTCGGCGACTCCGGATTAATAGATCATCA